ACATTTGGCATGTTTGCAAAAACATTCAAGATTAAGGCGATCCTGCTGATTAAGAATGTTAATTTGTCAGCCTCTTGAAGCGCTTCATTTCCCTGTCCCATTAGTACCAGACAGCTATTTCTCATAACTTTTGACTTTCGGGTGTTAAGGAAGAGGTTTCGCAGCTTTCGCAGGTGCACTGCATACGGTAGCGGTCAGGTGACAGAGCTCGCTTTCATATTACTCCCCAGGACAGTATCATGTACGTACTTCAGGTCAGCGAAATATCTATCCGGATATCTTGAACTGCGCTTTCCCTCTAGAATGACACCTTTAGCTTTCCCAAGATCAGCACTGTTTCGCAGAAAAAAGCCGAGAACAATGTTGAATAGCAAGGGCGAAACCATAACTACGGTTAAGTAGTCACACACCATCCAGATAGGTCGCCCTCAACTTTCACACCAGATATGGTTCCTGCATAAATCTGTTCCAAAAGAGAAACTGTGTTCAGGTATCCGATAACGTTTCAAACTTTCCCACATCTTCGAAAGATTTAGTGAGTCAAATACAGCCTTGATGTTGAGGAAACTAGCAAAGAAAGGCAACGGGAATCGTGTACACTTGCTGAGAGATTAAATTTTGTTTGTCAGGACCGGAGTACCTCACCCGGAAGGTTACTTAATTTTAGCGGTCTTCCTACCTGATCGTTTCCAAAATAATGCAGGAGAATAGTTACCATGAAGTTGACAGCGGTATGGCATACTCGAACACGCCTTTCAGTAAATGGCGTTCTTCCAACAACGATGTCCCCGAAACGCTTCGTCCAGTTTTACGCCTTATGGCATAGGAGAGACGGGTCTTCCGACAAAAATCTTTTCTTATCTTTCAGACCGAGGCCGCGAGTGCCATATGAGGTTTTTGTCTGAAGCGTGATCAAATTTGGCCCATCTTAATGCCTTGTTCGTGATTACAAAAGCCGTGTCGTCAATTGGCGTAGAGTCGACATCTGCGCCGTATGAAAAATTGCCCCAATTATGTCGTTGGATGAACGGACTGCATGTACGGGTGGTGGCGATGTGACCGGTCATTAGTGAACGTTAATTAGTCGTACGAACGCTTTTCCTGTCCATTTCACAAAAATGAACAACCACCATATTGGCCGAGCACTGCTTCTTACCCGTCGTACGCTTGAGACACTGCCGTCGTCCGATCACCCGACCAACTACCTCGACGGCAGAAGGGCCGGAAACAAAAGGACGGCCATGGAGTCGGTTCGGGTGACCGCGGTCGGGCCGAAACATAACGATGAAAAGCCAGTGACTTCCTTTAACTTCCGCCTGTGCGCCTCGTTTCTTACGTTAATCGTTTTTTATCGATATTAATTTCTCTAAGGACAAGGCGGTCATTCGTTGATGGACCGATGACCTCTTCAGGTCAAATGGTCATCGTCAAGTGCTTTTAGACTTAGCAGCCTTTGAGTGCCACCGTTTTTTAGTAGGTGCGTAACTGTAGCAGTAGGAGCATGACGGCTTCCCGGAAGTAATAGCTGCATGCCGATTACCTTGCCCCCTGACCATATATCTCGATTTTTCATCGACTTGACTCTTGAGGTTTGCGGTCGAAACCATTTCTTATTGACAGTAATCTGAAACGCATTTTGTTTGGCACTAGCTAGTAGTTCTTGACCTATAAATCATAGGAGCGCTCAATAAAAAATGTAAAGGGCAGAGCTTCGGAAACAGTAGGTATTTTTGTAGAGAACGGCGGAAGTTCGGAAAGTTGATAGCCGTGCGTTATTGCACCTGCGTCCTGCATTGGTCATATCTGAATATTGGACGGAAGCGATTCGGGTTATGTAAACACTGCGCACGGCGAATGTGTAAATAGAAGTGCTTCGTCATCGCTCCTGGGCTGGGCAAACCATGTACCCTTCGATTCGTGTTTGCGTTTCACTACCGATGCGTTTATGGCGGTTCCTCTTGCCCTTCGATCGAACTGAACGAGGAGTCAATGAATCGTAAAAGCGAGGCTCTTTTTCTCGTTTTCGACTGTTCGAATTGCAGGCTTTCAAACCAAACCATGATCGTGTATTGAACGCAGTCGAAACTGTTTTCAGCTGAGAAAACATGTAGCAACAACACCGTGAGATGCTGTTGTCAGTCTATGAAGAATTATGTGACGGTTAGAATAATAATAACTCCGGTCATACTTCAGTTTGTTACAATTCAGCTTCAGCGACCTACTGATTACTGTAAGGAGCGAAACTTTTCGAATAGAAGACGACCGAAAAGACGTCACAACTGCAGTTGGTACGGAGCAGGATGGTTGCACAAGAGAAGATGTGCAAGCCACCAGCTAACGGTGCTGTACCTCTGGCCTTTTAAAAGTCCTTTCGAGGAATGGTGAAGCGAATGCTTAGAGTGGTAATGTTTTTCTCTTCCATCGGTCCCCTAATAAATACTCTAGCCGTCTTGCCCTCGGTCTACCCCTGTCCACTTTCCATTTTGCTTTGCGGATATTGCGAATCTCTTCCGGCAACTTCACGCACATTCAAACCGTCGTAGTTGCAATCTACCTATCTGAGCGGAGGAGCGGTTCCTAAATAACAGCATCTCGGCTGGCGTTTTGAACTTAATTGGCACGGGCCCGGAAGTCCGTGGAAACAACCTCATTTTTACCGCTTATATCCGGGATTAAGTTTATTCAGTCAGAATTCAGTATTTATTACCGCAGGCGAAGATAGACGCATATACCGTGCAATTCGTAAAGCGGCGTATCTCGGACGGCCATGTTCCAAAATTGGATCCGCCTTTTCCGCTGATGGGAGTTACCTTGTCGGTAATTAGAGCGTCAGACTCAGAACCGAGAGATCCCAGACCCGATTGCAGCTCAGGCTCACTCACCCTTCGTCCTTCCGTGATCGATAAATGGGTACTACTCTGTGGGGAGGAAATAGGAGACTGTATGATATGCCTGCTACTTAGCTGCTGTCATTTCTGCAGTTAAAGTAAAGCTTGACTGATGGCTTGCAAGTAGAGATTAGCGCATCACCATTAACGTAATGAAGAGAAAAGAGCCGGAAATGGCTCAGTAAGTGTAAGTTTAAGGAAGACGACGTTCCAACGTTTACAAACGTTTCTTCCTTCCAGCCTCTTCACACCCGCGATACTTAGTAGGAACCTCATTTCCGCCGCTTGTATCCAAGATTACGCTCATTCAGTCAAAATCTAGTACTTATTGGGATGAACAGAAGTAGGCCCACAAAGAAGAATGGAAGAGATGAACGACGCCAGCAAGAAAGGATGGAAAATGAACCTGAAGAACACACTGATCACGTTCATCAAATGCGTGACCCTACGACCTGTGGGATGTCAATGGACTTGGCTTGAAATGGTGCAAAACTACGTGTATCTGGCTCTGCCCATCCCTGAAACAGAACCAAATATGGAAAATCAGCAGGCGAATAAAAATAGCATGGACGGGCCACTTTTGAAAGATGAAGATATTCCTATCCGAAAAACTACTGTTGAAACGGAAGATCTTCGATCAGTGTGTGCGCCTAGTGCTAACCGATGGGTGGGAAACGAGGACCTTAAGTGTTACAGGTGTTCATATGGTACAGACTACGCAACGTTGCGTCGAAAGATGTATTTTAGGAATAGCAAGAAAAAGTAGGACCACGAATTAATGGGTAAGAGCGCAAATAAGTGTTACAATAGAGTAAGTGATGTCATTGCCTGAGTGGAAAAATTAAAGCAGAATCGACCCTCTGTGCATCAGAGGGATGGAGGATGGTTTCACTGGAAAGTATGTGGTCTGCAGGAAGATCTACAAATCGGTCAAAACGAACTGACAAATTTCGTTGGATCAAGATTAACGAAAATGGCAGGTAACAAGTTTGTGGAAATGTTGGAGAGACTTTTATCCAGCAGTGGATCGAAAAAAGCTAATGATAATGGCATAGTAATGTATTGCAATGCTGAACCTGTCTTGTAGATACCTTCTTGTTCCTTACGTTTGTGTCTGTCTGGATGCCTTGGTAATTTGTTCTGAATAACATGCTGTTGAAAAACACCGCAAACGCTTATATGAAAAGCCAATCTAAAGTTACGGATTATTTCGCATCAGAAGCCATTGCGTCGCTGAAGAAATGGATAGGTTAAATTAAGTTCTAGCGTTTTTCCATATAGGCTTGTTTCGCAGTTTTCACTGAACATTTGAGATTTTGTCGGCAGCCGCACAGCATTCTCTCAGACACAGACTAGATCGTTTTTGGGAGAGGTGGAATCAGTACTGTTGGTGAGTCAACAGACGATGATCACTGAAAAAAAGGGAAAATCTTTTAAACTTCGTATTTCTCGCACTGGCCGTGCAGTTTATGGCACGGGCGGGTCAGAATACGCGAAAATTGACGCACCTATGAAGTTTGGTCGTTTCTGCTCGATGGCCAAAACCGATAGAGCAGCCCGAAGAGGGTCGCATGACCGTCGAGGTGAAAATTCAACTGATGGATGATGGTTAATGAGCCGTGCCGTGCGTCTAATCGCACGCGTTCGCAGCGGCATCTCGACAAGTCGGTTAATGCGTTGGGAAACGACGACCGGCCAAATTCGACGAATTTAAAGCTACCGTATACTACCAGCTATTCGCAACCAGTTGTAACAGTCATCGATCGATTTAACGTTAAAGGGGCTAGCCTGAGATGCCCACTTTACAGAGGTGATCAATGAAACGACAGTGGTA